TTGTATAGTATTTCTCATATGAAAAAAAGACATGAATGGCTAGTTAATTATCCAAATGATATAGTTCAAAAGCTTGATAATATTTATGGATCATATATATCAAAAATTACAACAATCGATAATATATAATTAATGGTAGCTTTTTTAAGAGATCGAAAGCCACAATATATAATTGCAACTGCATCTACAACAGCAAAGGCTGATAAAGTTAAATATGTTATTAAAAATAATATTGGCTCATCAATTATTAAATTTACAAGACCAAAAGTTTTTTGTAAATATTCACAAGCAAAAGAAGCCGTTGATATTAATAATCAGGTGTATAAATTTTTATATAATCTTTATTATTATATATATAATATAATATATATATATATTATATATTTATACATATATATTAGATGCGAGATAATATGATATCATTTTATAATATTATATGAAGATCAAGTTGGCAAATACATGTATTTTCTTTTTTATTAGAAGTAGCAGAAGCAAATGCTTTTCTTACTTATAAAAAGTGGTATAATGAAGTATATATCTTATATTTTGATTTTGGAAGGTAATTGATGCATGAAATGCTTAATGAAAATTATATTATAATTGGAGATACACAAATAAAAATATGATCTAAAGCTTTAGAAATACAACATAATTTAGCTACCTTTCTAAAAAAAATCATGGTAAAACAATTTATCCACAACTACATTGTAAATATTGTAGCACAAGAATAAGATATCATTGTACTTGCAATACTATAAAAGCAGTATATACTAAATGCTTTAGTAAATATATTTTGAATTTATAAAATATATATGAAAATAAAGTATAAATCTTAAATATTCTATAAATAAAATTTTTTTAATTATTCTTATATATATTTATAAAAATATTTATAAAAATTTGCTATACTAAATTTAGTACAGCAAATTTTGCACTAATGTAATTTTTACTTAATGCTAATTTATACAAAATTTTTATAAATAAAATTTGCTAAAATTTTACAAAGAAAAACTATTAGTATTTAAGTATATTTTAGCAAAGTTTGAAATAAAATTTATTGCTCGTTATTATAAAATAATTTTTTCAATTTGTACTAAATTTAGTACAGAGGGCTAATGGATATCCATTAAAGAAAAATTATAAATATCGATCTTCTATGATCAGCCAATTATATTTAATTATATAAATAAATGTATAATTGTTTTCTGTTTTTATTTTATATAAGCTTTTTGACAGGCTTTTTACTTTGTTTTGGCAGGTTTGTATTTTGTTTTTTTTTTTTACTTGTTTTAAAACTAATAATTTTTTTTTGCTAGTTTATTTTATTTTTTATTTTTTTTCTTTTCATTTTTTTGTTTTTTTTCTAATCATTTTTTTCACTATTTCTTTTCTTTTTTTTATTTTTTATTCTCTTTGTTTTTTTTTTTGTTTTTTTTTTTATTTTTTTATTTTTTTTCCACTTAGGCCATCTTGCCTTTAGTCTTCTTTATTATATTTGATTGTTGGATACCAAAAGACAGTATTCCTGTATAATATTGAGAAGTAGCATCTAGCAGTTACTTCAAGAGCACTTACAAGCGATTGGCCACACTAAGCAGATATATCCATATGAATACATCTTGATAGGTTTTAAAATAGAAACACTATCTCTCTTAGAAAAGCACTATCAGACCACTACCCTATAATAGGATATCACCAATCTGATAACATCTCGTAGGAAAGTGAAAAAAAAAAAAGTTTACTAACACTAACACTAATACTAAGGGGAGATACTAAAAGAAAAATAAAAACTAATACTAAAAAAAAAACAAAAACAAAAACGAAAGGAGGAAAAAAAGAAACAAAATCTGATAGATCACAATTATAGGCCTGTGTTGGGCCTTAAAAATTATATATTAATAGATAAAGAAGCTCTTTATCTAACTCTATCCTAATAATATATGTATACTAAAAAAAAGTTAAAAAAAAAGATAGCTAAAACAAGACAGAGTAGCCCGAAATACGAAAGTTTCAAAGTATTGTTAAATGGTTTTTCTGGTCGAAGCACATGTACCCATTGTATTGTCATATAGTCTGTACGTAGTTGCTTATTTCAGATATTTGCCCAATATCCCATTTTGGAAGTTCTATCCATATATAGACAAGTAAACAATATCGACTTGTTTAGAAAGTTACATGTTGATCTTTTGAAGGAGTAAGCTAAAATACCCACTTTTTGACAAAATTTTCTCAAGAAAAGTGGTGGGCCAACGAAGACTTTTTTGTGTTGTTTCTTGTAAGTTTTACGGTTGTATAGATATACCTCAAGCTTTTGAACTATATCATTTGGATAATTAACTAGCCATTCATGTCTTTTTTTCATATGAGAAATACTATACAA